ACAGTAAGTAATAGAAAAGTAATGCAGCGGGTATACACATCACTGTTATGCTTTATTTACAACATAAATACTCGTGCATTGCAGTAGACTGCAGAATTTGAGGTATATAATTTTTGCAGGTTTATTGAGTGTGCCAGTTAATAAGGTGCTGGTTAAAACAAAGTTTGCTGTATGATCTTCCAACTTGTGTATTCAATTGTCCTCACAATAAATGATAACATTCTGTTAGCTTTCCGAATGTTACACTCTACCTGTATACTAACCTTGTGTGATACGTGCATGTGGACATGCAGATTCCTCTCTATCCCCAAGTCCTGTAATTTCTCACCGTTCGGATAACTTCTTTTTTCTTGCCAAAATGGACCATTCACCCCATCCCACATTATACTGCATTTGCCACATCTTTGCTGACTCTGTTAACGAATATTTTTGTAACCTCCTTGTGACCTCTTCACAATTTACATTCTTAGCTATCTTTGTGTCATCAGCAAATTTGGCAGGTGTACCTTCTCTTGCTTCAAATGTGTCATTTATATAAACTGTAAAAAGTTTTGGTCCCAGCACCGATCTCCGTCGCATACCACATCTTGCCAACCTGAGATAGATCCATTGACACCAACTTAACCAACCAGTCAATCATCTATCAATGCCAATGTGCTGTCCTTAAACCATGAGCTTCCATTTCCTGCAATAACCTTTAACATAGCCCCTTATCAATGCTGTCTGGAAATCTATACCATCACTGGTTCCCTCTTATCTACAGCTCACATCACTTCTTCAAAGAATTCCAATAGATTGGTCAAACATGATTTCCCTTTGGGCCCTCTTGTGGTGCAGTGATAATGTCTCTACCCCTGGACTGGAAGGCCTGGGTTCAAGTCCCACCTGCTCCAGAGGTGTGTAATAACATTTCTGAACAAGTTGCTTAGGAAAATAGGTTCACTCTGCCTGATTACCATGTACTTATTTAAGTGGCCAACTGTAACTTCTTTAAGAATAGCTTCTAATACTTTCCCTGTGATGGATATTAAACTAATTTGCATGTAATTTCCTGCTTTCTAGCTCCCTTTTGAATAAAGGAGCTGCTCCCTCCCTTTTGTTTCCTGCTTTATCACTGTTTCCAGGGTGTAATTTGTATCTTTTATAGTGAAAACTAATGCAAAATATCTGTTCATCTGCCATTTCCTTATTTGCCTTTATTAATTTTCCACCCTCACTTATTAATACTCTCTTTGTTCACTATTTTCTCTATTAAAGCCTAATGAAGACTCTAATTATCTTTTTGTATATTTCCGGCTAGCTTTCTCTCATTGTCTAATTTCTCCATCTTTCTTGATTTTATTTTGTCATTTTACTCGTTGCTGTTTTTAATATTCTGTCCAACCTTCTGACTTAATACCTGTCTTTGCATAATTATCTGCTTTTTCTTTCAGTTTGGTACTTTCAACTTCTAATTGATCGTGGATGATGGGTCTGTCCCTTGGAATTTTCCTTACATGTTCGAATGTCCTCGTTCTGGGGATTATGAAATTTCCCCTTAAACTTCTGCTACTGTGTCTCTATCAACCTAAACTTTAACCTAATTTGCCAATTCACTTCGGCAAGCTCTGCTTTCACGCCCTCATGTCTACCCTTATTGAAATTATTAAAAATAATCTATGAACGGGCAATATGGGTAGATAATGACTTAATAATAATGTTATAGTAATCCAGAGCCCCTACCTACAAGATGCACTGCAGAAATTCATCAAAGATCCTCAGGCAGCACCTTCCAAACCCACGACCACTTCTATCTAGAAGGACAAGGGCAGCAGATACATGGGAGCACCACCACCTTCAATTTCCCCTCCAAGCCACTCACTATTCTGACTTGGAAAAATATCACCATTCCTTCACTGTCGCTGGGTCAAAATCCTGCAATTCCCTCCCTACAGACATTGTGAGTCAACCCACAGCAGGTGGACTGCAGTGGTTCAAGAAGGCAGCTCACTACCACCTTCTCAAGGGGCAACTAGAGACAGGCAATAAATGCTGGCCCAGACAGTGATGCTCACATCCCACAAATGAATTTGTAAAAACAGTTCTTTCTCCCTCAACCTGAATGTAAAATTAATTCTCATTATGCCTGCTGCTACATAGGAATACTTCCATTATGAGATCATTAATTAACCCTGTCTCATTGAACAGTAACAAATCTAGTATAGCCTACTCTCTGGTTGGCTCCAGAATGTGTTGATCTAAGGTATATTCCAAAGGCAATCTATGAACTCCTCATCTAGGCTATCTTTGCCCATCTGACCTTTCCAGTCGATGTGTACATTAAAATCTTGGATGACCATCACCATACCCTTTGGACAAGCTTTTGTTATTTCTTCCCTTATACCTCACTCCACCATGTGGTTACTAATATGGGCCTATACAAGTAACTTCTTGCCTTTATTGTTCTGATTTGTACCCAAAACATTTCCCCATATTGGTTTCCTGAACTTTAAGTCATCCCTGTCAGTTATGCTAATACCATCGTAAACTACCACAACCACCCCTCATCTTTTCCTGTCATTTCTAAACGTCCTGTACCCTTCAAAGGTTGATCCCAGTCCATGTTTTTCCACTGCTGTGTATCTGTGTGATTACAAAATCATATTATTTATTTCTATTTACAATCTCAGTTTATTGTTTTGTTTAGAATGCAACGTGTATTCAGATTCAGAGGTTTTAGTTACATTCTTTTACTCCCATTGTAAATTCTAGCCCTATCTGGTAGTTGACTCTTAAACTCATACTCTCCATCCTTTCCTGTCACAGACAGTTTTTGCATTAATACCTTTTTTTTGTCCTTGACTATGCTGTTTGATTTACCGTATCTTCTCAAATTTGATCAATTGGCCCCACTATTTTGTTTAAAATCCTCTCTATTTCCTTAGTTATGTGCGTAGGAATTACACCAGTCCTAGTGCAATTCACACGGACACCGGCTCATTGATTCAAATCCCCAGTACTGGTGCTAGTGAACCACAAATTGTGTTCAGCTTTAGATTTAGAACACCCTTATATATATATTATTCATTTTAATTTCAGAACTAGAATAAACCGGAAATCATTGAGACATTTGCCAATTTAGCAGCTTCCTCTCTTATAATAAAGTGAGAATCAATTCTTGGAGGCTGAAAAAGTTTAGGCAAAAGCAAAAGGACCAGAGCACCTTGTTCTCTTCCTCTGCTTTACTCCCCGAATCACTTAATTCCACGACTCTATTGAAAGACGGAAAACCTAGCTGACTCAATTGAAGAGGATCCAGTTTCATCTGGCTTTTAATTAAGCTGCTCTTTCACTGGAGTCCCTGATAAAACCTACATTACCTGCAATTGGTGTTTCAGTTTAAAGCCAACTTTAAACTATAAACTAAATTAGTGTTATACAGATTAAAATTTTTGACTTTCTTACCCATCAACTGCATTGGGTAAAGTCCGGAGATGGAAGTTGAACAATTGGAAATTAGTTATCTTCGTGATAGGGCAGATATGAGGTCAGATATATCTGTTGCAGTTAAGTGTACGACTAGACCCTGGGAACACCAAGCCAGAAATGTGGGAACTGGAAGAGAGGCCATTGCAAATGATTCTCTGGCTAGGAGTAGATTGATGAGAATGAAACCAGATGACACAGTCACACTTGGCTGGATGAGACTGGAGAGGTGTCGGAGAACATAGTGTGGTCAGTGTGTCAAAGGCGGCATAGAGGTTGAGAAGGATGAAGAGGGGAAATTTACCTTTGTCACAGTCACATTTAGAGTCATAGAGCTGTACAGCACGGAAAAGGACTCTTCGGTCCAACTCGTCCATGCCGACCAGATATCCTAAATTATTCTAGTCCTTTTTGCCAGCATTTGGCCCATATCCCTCTAAATCCTTCCTACTCTTGTACCCATCCAGATGCCTTTTAAATGTTATAATTGTACCCATCCCTCCACCACTTCGTCTGGCAGCTCAGTCCATAGGACTTTGTGACTTTGACCTCAGCTGTTATTGTTCGGCAACAGGGGCAAGAACCTGATTGGAGGAATTCCAGCCTGGAGTTCCAGGAAAGGATAAACAGGTTTGGTGGATAAAGGCAGAATTGAACACTTTTCAAGACACAAGCGCTGTTGAAGATATGACAGTGGATTGCAAGGATGGAGGGGCAAGGGCTGGCTTTTTATGGGGAGTGGTGATAAATACAGCTTTGCAGGAGAAAAGAACAACACTATAAGGTGCTCCGAGAGAACCATTCGCAATATTGGGTAAGATGGGAACCAAGAGGAGGAGTCTCGGAGTCTACAGTTTAGCGGAAAGTGCATTAAGAGAATGGGAGCTGGGTCTCAGGGACAATATGAGCTGAGGGGGTATGAAGGGAAAGATCTGGGGTGTGCTGAAGGGAGCATGACAGGGTGATTTGTCTGATGAGTGAAGGAAGAAACAGAAACAACAGAATCTTAATTCAGAGATACATGTTCTAAGGACCCAGGTTTGAACCCCACCATGGGAGATGGTGGAATTTGGATTCAAAAAAAAAAATCTGGAATTAAGAATCTACTGGTGAAATGTTAATTGTCAGAAAAACCCAGCTGGTTCACTAATGTCCTTTGGGGAAGGAAACTGCCATCCTTACCTGGTCTGGCCTACATGTGACTCCAGACCCACAGCAATGTGGTTGACACTCTGGTCAATTATGGATAGGCAATAAATGCTGGTCATGTCTAGCGTTAGGGTTAAATCCATTACCCAGGAAAAGTATGATTGGATCTGGTGTTCAGCAAGTGATGGCTTAGGAGGGTAAACCAACGCTGTGACAGGATGAGATGTACAGCAAGCCATGGGTGGTGTAAACATGGGACGTGGACATGGTTAAAACAGGGAAGGGTGGTGTGCATCAGAACCACTGTACCAAAGGTGCCACTGTGTGACATATGCATTCTGTGTGTTTATGCCGCGTTCAACTACAATACCTATCCTCTTTACCAGATTATAATTACACTGATGCCTTTGACGGGGAGACTGCAGATGAACCGAAAGCTGCGCAAGAAGCTTCTGAAGCAATGCCGTATATTGATGAATCTCCCACAATGTCACCACACCTCAGTTCCAGAGCCAAGGAAACAAACAACACAGATACGACAACAACAGACAGCATGGCAGCAATGGTAGGTCCAAAGGATAACACTGGGGTACAGTACTGGTGGGGACAGGTCTGTCACTGTGTAACGCTGGGGGACAGTACTGGTGGGGACAGGGTCTGTCACTGTATAACACTGGGGTACAGTACTGGTGGGGACAGGTCTGTCACTGTATAACACTGGGGTACAGTACTGGTGGGGACAGGGTCTGTCACTGTATAACACTGGGGTACAGTACTGGTGGGGGCAGGTCTGTCACTGTATAACACTGGGGGACAGTACTGGTGGGGACAG